ATATAAATGTATCATTTATTTGATTTATTTTTGTATTGGTTTTTCAGTTGAATTATACGTTCAGGGTAATCAACAGTTACAAAGAGACTGCTCAAATTATTATTTGTATTTGTTTCACAGTTCAATAAATGGATGTTTTCAAAGTCGATGAATAATCGTATTTAATAATAGTGATATCAATTATTGACCAAAATGATCGTGATTAGGATTTTTGCCATAATCGAGCAGCCCTAGATTAGAGTGGAACAAAATATAAAACTAGGTTCATTAGCTTTGCTCAGCACCAGTAGAGAATAATATTATAGCTAACATGTTATCCATAAGGGTATATGTATGCATCCTTGTGAGACTGTTGTATCAGTAGTAAAATACCTTTGAATATCTGTGTTTCTAAATTGGTACACGTGAGCATCGATGTGGAATCAGTTGCCAGGTTGCAGAAATGCTAATAAGCAGAGCAACAGGAAGGGATCCGAACACAACCAAAGGTAGCAAATACAGAAGGAAGATGATCAATGATCACAGCTTTGCTTGAAACTCTATGAGATGTGCCAAGTTCTTTAGCTAGGGAATTTGTGTTTCTTCTTCAGGGGGTGTTCAGGACCTTACACTTTGATATTAGATAGATGCAGCACAGTGAAAGATGCATATTCCCAAGGTACAAAAAAAAGATATGAAATTATTTGTTTTACAGTGCGATACAAGCCTGCAGTAAACCCCATTCTGGTGCTTTCGCACAGACATTACTGATGCTGATACTCACTGTTCGCAGCTTAGTATTCACACATGGCTGTGAGGGAATAGCCCCGCAGTGGATGGAGAGGAGACGCATAACAGAAAAACTCATTTGAGGGGACCACCAGGAGCACATTAAGCTCAGCCGCTGGCCTGAATGAAGGATCATGTTGAACCCTTCACACGGTCGGTGAGTGAGAGTGAGTGTGTGTGTGTGTGTGTGTGTGTGTGTGTGTGTGTGTGTGTGTGTGTGTGTGTGTGTGTGTGTGTGTGTGTGTGTGTGTGTGTGATCAGAAGTTTCGCGTTACAATGTGCTTTTTAACTTACAAGTATCACCCCGGGAATAATAAACACGCCGCACGTGCTCTCTTCCTCTCACTAGAACACGCCAGTCAGTATTCCATCCATCGCAGGCGCTCGCCGGGATCCAGTAATGAGCTGACACGACAGTAAACCAAATGAAAACATATCTACTATACAGTTTACGAAACAGGTAGTCTTGAAGGGTAACTTAAAATTAGCATAACTGTGATTTTCAGAAGTATTGTGTTTTTGCCTCCACTCACCCGGCATGCATGGGATCCGTGCAAGAGCTGCGTGTCGACTTCGTCAAGGCCATCAGCTGTCTCTCTCTCCCCCCCCCTCCTCCGTCCAGATTATGACTTCATTTGCGCGTTTAATGTCCCATATGCGATCAGAATCTAGCAAATATAAGTTGAACTGACTGCTTATCAAAAAGACACAATAAAACAATAAGCGTTTGGGCCTATGCAACCGGGTGAGGCGCCGCAAAGTATCAGCGCATCATTATGCATTTGTTTAACATGCCCACCAGAACCCCCGAGGCATTAACCAACGGGCACAACTAATCCATACACGGGACAATCTCTTCTCCACATTAATGTTAAGACCATTAGAATTGACCTATCTTGTCGTCACATAAGTGGCGCAAACTGATGGCGGTATGTGCTAAGGGGATGATTAATATTTTGACCGGACATTTGACCGGAGAGATTAAGATTTGCCCCGGGGGGGGGGGGTCTTCAGGTCATATTTTTACCGGTCAAAATCACGGTAATTACCCTGTCTAACGTGAAACTGCTGGTGTGTGTGTGTGTGTGTGTGCTTGTGTTAGGACGTGCGTGCGTGCGTGTGTGTGTGTGTATGTGCGAGTGAACAAGATGAAAGTATGGATATGACAACGCGCATAGATAAAAAAATAAAGGTGAAACTCAAATAAAAGAATCGCTGAGTGTGGCAAAAAAGAGTAATGTATTCTAATAATAACAGTCACCTTATTTCCAGTATATTCACTATTTTTTCTACGTTTCGTCAGATCCATAGATCCCCCCCGAGTGCTGATCACTTCCAAACCCCTTCCGTGTAGAAAGAACGCCCCCTGCCTCTGATTCCTCAGAGGAAAAGTCAGCCTCCTCTAACCGTCTTCAGGCCTCTCTGTCTGGACTTTGAATTTCTTACAGGCCACCGACGATGATGTTTGAAGCCCATTTCTGCCTTTCATATTGTCAAACGACCAAGGAGAACACCCTGTTGGGATTCCACCGCCTTTGAAAAACCCTTTTTATTCCTTTGGGCATTAGTCCTTTCGCAGAACGTTATTTACGGGCAAGGTCAAGGACATTTTCCAAGCCGGCCACCTCCCTTTGCCAACTTATT